TGTATACACATAGAGTTTATAGCAGGTTTTAAACAGTCTTTCTTTATATTGCACTTGTTTTTAAATTGCCTTATATTGAAAGAAGTCAGTCAGGTTGAGTTGAGTTGAGCCAGGTAAGTTATTCAGTTTCTTCCAGAATTCTTTCTAGCCTTTGTTGCTTATCTTTGAAGCTCGCATACTCGTACATTCCATGTACTGATGCCAGTTGGCCTGCATCTTATTATGATGCAAACACAGGTACCTAGGATCAGCATCCAGCACGTCGTTGATCCAGCTGAGCACTCCAGAGTCAGTGGTGAGCCTCCTTGCATTCCGGAGGACTCAATTATTTTGTGTTCTTAGTTTTGTTTTATTAGGGTGTTGCGGGGTCTGTCCCAACATCTATCTCAGTATTTTAGAGGCTTCATAGACAGTCAATCAGTTAGTTTTGAGTCTCTCATCTATGTATATATGTAAATATCCTATTTTGAGATTCGAGTTGCCTTTGTGGCCAGATTTTATAAGTTAAGTTGTTTTGTAACCTTGCATTTGCATTGAGTTGTTCTGTTGGGTTAGGTTTCCGCTGAGTTAAGAAAGTCAGGCCAAGGGTTCGCTTGGGGCCAGAAATGGTCTCCGGGTGCCGGTCCCGCCCAGGGTGTAGGCTCGGGGCATGACAATTTGTGGCGTGAAAAAAGAAAGGAAAATCATAGGTATGTGATTTCAAATTAATGTATCCGGAAAAGGGGATGATGGGAGGAAAAGAAGGGATATAACATCCAACAATTTAAAATGAATATGAAGAAGCTTGAAATTGGAAGTAGTAATTTTTTTGGAAAAATTCAGAATCTGGAAAATTTGGCTAAGTGTGGAAATCAGTGAGTTTTTGGCCAACTTTGAGTAGTTGTAACTCCTAGCTCAGGATGATTTAGGAGTAGTTCCAGTTATGGTTGTGATGCTTGTGGAACAATCTTTCCAACGCCATCGAGTTTGCTCGATTCCGAGTTTGTATGAGCGAGTTATGCCCTTTGAAAGTTGGGGCAGTTGGCAGGGAGTTCGTCCGGAAATTTAAGGGCATTTTGGTCTTTTCACAAATCATTTCTTTTGAGGTTATATTGTTGTGTTAGGCTGTTTGTGGATCATTTTTGTTCCATTTTAAAAGAGAGAAAGTTAGGGTTCTTGAGAGTGAAGAAGAGAAGAAGAAGAGAAAGAGGAGATCAACAAGTTTCCGTCGTGGAATTTCGTCGGGGGTGATCCCTATCAAGGTATGTGAGTTCTTTAGTGTGGGTTGATCATTTCCCCCACACACCAAGCTCATTTTATGATTTGAGAAAATATTGGATTTGTTGTTGAAGTTGTTGAAGTTGTTAGTTGTTGTTGATGTTGTTAGTTGTGTTGTGGAAGTTATTGTTGGTTGTGGGACATGATTTGGTTGTGTTCTTGAGTTGAATCTCTTGTATGTTGAGGGATTTTATGATCCTTAGTGTTGGTTGGTTCATACCCCCACACACCAACTCGTTTTTAATTCCAAGAAAAGATTTATTTTGGTTGTTGAAGTTGTTGGTTGTGTTGTTGAAGTTCTTGATGATTTGGGACAGGATTTGGTTGTGATTTTTCTGCTGGAACCTTTGAGGTTGAGAGGGTTTAGAGTTGGATAGAAACAAGTGGAAAAAGTCGGATTTTTGGGGGAAAAGGGCTAGGCTGTTGCGCCAGCCAGCGCACCCAAAAAAAAGGATGCTGAACTTTCCCCTTTGGGCAGAACACCTGGCAGAACGCCCAGCAGTCCCTCTGAAGTTTGAGGGCTGGCGCCCCGCGCCTCTTAGAGCGCCAAGGACGCCAATCCTTCCCGTTACCTTCATTCCCCACTTTTTCATACATGTTCCTAGGTATTATACCTATGTTTCCTAGTTGTTTCCAACACTCCAAGGTACTTCTAAAAGTCAAGAACTCATCCGTAACATGTGATCAAACACCTTGAATCCAAAATTCCAATTCAAAGAGAGTAAAGTTAGAAGTCAAGTGATGTTAAGAGTTAAGCTTAGAAGTGAAGTAAGTCAAAGCAAGTTTTTAAAGTTGTTCAAGAGTCTTTAGTGGATGTTTTAGCTTCATTTTTAAGACTCGAGTTTCAAGTCAAGTCAAAAGCATTGAGTTTCAAGTCAAGTCAAAAGTTAAGAGTTTCATGTTAAGTTAAGAGTTTCACATCAAGCCAAGAGTTCAAGTAAAGTAAAGAGTTTAAAGTTGGGCTCATTTCTCAAAGTTATTAGGGAACTAGGTATTCTCAAAGAAGTTTTAAAGAAATGTTTTTACATTTAAACAAGGTTGGAAACTGAGATTTCCAAAAGAGCCTACGGGCTAGTTTTTGAGTAATTATCTCATATCAGCAAGAATAAATATGTTTTAAAAACATAAGAGCCAGTACATTTTTGGGAGTAGTATCGACCACCGAATTGGGGGAGCATTCAAAGAACCCACAGCCCCCATAAAACCATGTTAGCCACCATGGGTAGAAAAGGATCATACTTTTTAGATGAATCCTTTTCAGATTAGACTAGTGGATCCATTAGGCAGTTCAGGTCTTATACCTTTGGCCGGGTATAAGATGCTCTGGCAGCATGAGGTCGATCGATGTATCATCACTATAGCTCTTATGTGATGGTTGTCGGTTAGAGAAACTCCCACAGCAGTTATTGTATTTTCATACACAGAGATTATTGTATTTTTATATACATCAGTTCATTGTATTTCTATATACATTTCAGGCTTATTGTATCTTTGTATACACACAGAGTTTATAGCAGGTTTTAAACAGTCTTTCTTTATATCGCACTTGTTTTAAATTGCCTTATATTGAAAGAAGTCAGTCAGGTTGAGTTGAGTTGAGCAAGGTAAACTTTTCAGTTTCTTCCAAATTTCCTTCTAGCCTATGTTGCTTAGTTTTCCATCTCGCATACTCGTACATTCCATGTACTGATGCCAGTTGGCCTGCATCGTCTTATGATGCAGATACAGGTACCCCGGATCAGCATCCTGCACGTCGTTGATCCAGCTGAGCACTCCAGAGTCAATGGTGAGCCTCCTTGCATTCCGGAGGACTCAATTATTTTGTGTTCTTAGTTTTTGTTTTATTAGGATGTTGCGGGGTCTGTCCCAACATCCATCTCAATATTTTAGAGGCTTCATAGACAGACAGTCAGTCAGTTAGTTTTGAGTCTCTCATATATGTATATATGTAAATATTCTATTTTGAGATTTGAGTTGCCTTTATGGCCATATTTTATAAGTTAAGTTGTTTTGTAATATTGCATTGCATTGAGTTATTCTGTTGGGTTAGGTTTCCGCTGAGTTAAGAAAGTCAGGCCAAGGGTTCGCTTGGGGCCAGAAATGGTCTCCGGGTGCCGGTCCCGCCCAGGGTGTAGGCTCGGGGCGTGACAAGGGATTTTTGATATTTTTTGAAATGGTAGGGAAAATAAGAAAATATGATAATAAATGGTGTAACTAAGTAATTTTTCCTTACAAATATTGAGTTGTTTTTAGCCCAACAACCTAATAGTTAACATCATCTCTAAAGTTCCACACACCTCTACAAAATGAAAAAAGGAAACTTATAGAAATCCTACTAATTTAGGAGCTAATTACTTAGTTATACTCTAGTTTTCAATATTACTAATCTTACTAGATTTTGGTGTATTCAAATACATTCAAGTACATGTATCATGACATACATGAGGTTAAAATTAGGTGTAATTTGTGACTGTATCCAAATGGATTCGTATGTATTAGGAATTCAAATACATGTATCATGACATACATGAGGTTAAAATTAGGTGTAATTTGTGACTGTATCCAAATGGATTCGTATGTATTAGGAATACATACAAATCTCGTTCGTCTTCATGCCATCTCGCTCGCCACTCTCCTATGTATATGATATCTCATATACATGACACGACAATCACACCAGATACATACAATACATGTATCTGGTGTGTATCTAGTGTGATTTGTATATATATGAGATACATGACAATCTTGCTCGCCTCCCTCCCCATCTCGCTCGCTTCTCTCCCTATCTTACTGTATCTTAGAATAAGAAACATATATATGTAGGTGTATCTTCCTCAATATATAGTAGGAAATTCTTAATTAGTGGTAAGATACATAATTATTTAAAAGTATATATGGTATGAATGTATGTTTAATAAGGTTATTTTCCCGATGAATAACCATGAATTTTTGTTTTGATGTAGTTTTAACATTTGTAATGAAAGTATCTAAATTTGTATACCATAGACAAAAATGTAAACAAAATTTGGTAGTCTCAAAGGAAGAGAAGTCACTTCTTTAATCATAGGTAACAAACACTTCATGAAACATCATAAACTATTCTATTTGCTTCTCCAGCAACATATTAGACCTGAAAATGCTTTATATAAAGATTCAAGGCTTCCGAAGCAACCTTCTTTAGACAAGAAGTAGCTTGTTGGGTGCATAAAGGAATACATCAATTTCTTTATAGATTTAAAATCAGGGTAACAAACATTTCATGAGAATAAAAGCTTGAATTTGAATTCCATCAACTAATTAGACCTGAAATTCCTTGAGCATATGTTTAGTTGATAGATCGTATAACAAGAAATGATCACAATGTTTCATCCATAAACCAAAACTTCGTCACTGCATATAATGATCTCTTTTTAAAACATTTTATCAACTTTGTGAGGGAAAATTACGCAAAAAAAGAAGAAGAAGATTTCTGAAAACTCCTAAAAAATAACTAATTACTAATTTCACTTTATCTTCTCCTAATACTAATAGAAAACATATACTATTTTTTTAATACATTAACAAAAATAGAACTCCTAAATATGACTTAGTACTAATTTTCCTTTTTATCTTCCCCTAACACTAATAGAAAACGTATATTTTTTTATTTATTTTTTATAAATAAGTCAAAAATAAAAAAATGTGAAGGGTTTTAGACATAAATAAAAGGGGCATACAACTTTTAGGCGCTAAGTGTGAAGATGAATCTATCAATTCCTCAAGATATAGTCATTGAAATATTGTCATGGCTTCCTGCTAAGTCTTTAATGCGTTTCAAGTGTGTTACCAAATTCTTTAATTCTCTTGTTTTTAAATCAAATTTTACGGATATACATAGATGTCGATCTCTGACCCGTCCCAGTGGAAAAAAGTTATTTTTGCACGGAAGTAAATTTGATTGCACCTCTGATCAGCAAAAGGAAGATGGAATAAACTCTGCCTCCATTCTTCAAATTGAGAGTTTTGGTGAACTCTCCTTTCATATCCATGTAGATCCTCGTTTGAATTGTGTTAACGATTTATTTTTACTTTGGCAACCATTATCTGTGCAACCTGCTACAATCTTAAATCCTAGTACAAGAGAAGTGAAATTGCTTCCAAGCCTAATCAAAGGTTTTTCTTGGTGTCACTATTCATTCGGTTTTGAGCCCGAAGAAAAGAAGTACAAAGTTCTTTCGACAGCAAAATATGATCAAGAAGGTTACATAAAAAACAGGGTTTTCACTTTAGGCATAGATGAGACATGGAGAGAGACTAAACACAATCCCTCCACTATTCATTGCAAGCCCGGGATTTGTATCAATGGAGTTATCTATAGGTTTGTTTTCCACAGAGGACTTCTTGCTATAGCTGAATTTGATGTTAAAACTGAAAATTCCAAACTTATTGCATTGGGGGATGCCCTTCACGGGTGGTCTTTGATGTTTATAGAGCTGAAGGGTAAACTAGCTGTCATTGATTATAAAACACGTTCACCTGAATATATCCAGTTGCTTGTTTTAGAAAAAACTCGAAACGTAGAAGAATGGAAGAGTCATATCATTCAGTTGCCTTCAACATGGAATACTTTAACATGGAAGGACATGCAACAAGGAGTCATACCCGATGACATATTATCATGCACGTCTTGTGATGATGAGATTTTATTCATCGCGAATTTAAAGTCAGGTACTGTATGTTTCTGTTATGATGTCACGAGACAAAGTTGGAGAAAATTAGAAATTAAGGGGCTTCCTAAGAACCACGGCATCAAAGGCATTTTTAGTTATGTAGAAAGACTTGTTATGTAGAAATTAAGTCTCTTTCCATTTGAGATTTTTTGCAATTCATATGTTTTTTTTTTTTTTTTTTTGCATCTGGATATCAAGCCTAGAAGATTTTGGTGTATATGTCGATGTATATTTAATTACAGATTATGATTATGTTGTTCTGTTCTATTAATGTCAAATATCTATACATCCATACGAATCACTGCTAAAATTTAGCTTGTTCTGTTTTATTGCATCTGGATATCAAGCCTATTTTAGTGTAAAATTAGCATGTCAATTAAAGTATATGCCGATATATATATTTAGTTACAGAGGATGATTTTATTGTTCTGTTTTATTAATGTCAAATACCTCTGTACAGCATACACATATGAGGACAGTGTGGCTAACTCCAAATTATCACTTTCTTTATATTAAAACACATCTTGATGTTGAGTTGGCCCACACGCTCCTGTTGTCAATTGTGAACAAGTATATGGCCTGAAAATTTTGACCGCGACAAATTTCTCTTAGGAGTAGCTCTATAACTGAAATCACACAAATAGAATCTAGTTCTGGCAATTCGTCAGAAAAGTTTTGATTCCTAGTAGAGATAGTTGTATGGACTCGTTAATTTTTAAAAAAGTCTGAGCAGGCTATTCTCATGGCTTCCTGTCGAGTCATTAATGCATTTCGGAATCAGATTTTAATTCTCTTGTTTCCGAATCAGATTTTAGTGATATTCATAAACTTATCTCCCCTTTTAAACAGCTGAGCTAAGGAAGATGGAAAAATCTCTATCTCCCTTTTTCAAACTGAGAAATTTGATGGACTCATACTGTTGTTCAGATTCTTCATTGGATCACGTTAATGGTTTATTTTTGCGTTTGGGAACCCTTATCTGCTATAGCTGCATTTGATGTTAAAGTCTGAAAATTTTGAAACTCAAATGATCAGTGGATGTGTGTTGCAAGCAGATAGATGGTCTTAATTTTCCTCCATGGTGTGGTTAATTATTATTTTATGATGTGTTTATATATACTAGTATTTGGACACACACGTTGCACGTATATCCCTTACCACAGTGAGCATAAGAATTTTTCAAAATTGCATCAATATGATAAATATATTAAAAAATCAATGACATCCAATATCTAAACTGTCCAACTTTGAAGATTCTTAATTAGTACTAAATTGATTTTAATTTGAATTTATGAGTTAAAATTTGATATGAATTTGTCAAATTTTAGTAGTTTTTATATAGATATTATGTTTTGATCAAAAAACAATTAAGGTAATTAAATTCATAGATTACATGCTTAATATGCTCATATCATCAATTAACAGTTGTCCTACCTCCAAAATCAATATTACATTTCTATACGAACTTTATTTGATGTGACTCAACGCAATTATAATATTTTTTTTAGTTAGAAAAGGAATTCAACATTTCATTTATATTTTGTCGAACTGTATTGTTAAAATTGTACTTGAGAAACAAAAAGACATGTATTGTTTTATATTGTCAAAAAAAAAAAGACATGATAAAAAATAATATTACGACATGTGAGTGATAAGTAATATAAATTCTGAAGGAGAATGGGAGGGATAAACTATGGCTCAAAACTAAATAATCAACTAAAATTAAAGCAAAGAAAGTTAACATAATTTCGTGAGAAAAATAACCAAAATATGATATTGTATTCATTCCTTTCTTTCTTAACATGGGTTGTTATCCTCCCTTCTTTCCTTTTGGATGAAAGCTCCATTAAAAAAATTAAATTCAGACAAAGAAAGTGAAGCCAAACAGGCAATGGCCAATGAATATCAAATCACTCAACACGCCATAGCGCATAAATACATTTTTTACTTTTATTGGGTTATGATGGTTAATATCAAAATTCAATACTTAATTAGCTTTACACACACATAAATCACATGAATCTGCATATGAAAAATCAATAAATTTGATAAGTAAGAAGTAAGAAACAAAATAAAAAATAACTTAAAAGAACATGCACAATGGAGCATCGGAAAGGACAGTGTTCCTAGGCTCTCTATCAAACTCATAAAACAAAATGTAAAGAACAAGAAGATATACATATGTGAAATGAAAAGACAAGGATCATAATGGAGAATGTAAAGAGACAACAGTTTCTTTAGAAGATTATTAATGAATAATTGTCTTTTTAATGTATCTATTTTATGTAAAAATATATATTTTAAGTACAATATAATATGTGATATGATTACTATTTAATATTTTGTTAATTAAATATTTTATAACATTTTTATTTAATATAGGGGTAAAATGGTAATCCAACATTGTACTTTGATGCTTCCCACTTTTAATAATATATGATATGATATGATATATGATGATATGATATGGTAAAAAAAAAATAAAGAAAAAAAAAGCATGCTTTAATATATGTGTTTTGAAGCAGTGAATGATCAAATATAAATTCTTTAAAATATATCTCGTGAAAGTTATCACCATAAACAAAAAAAATTCAAAAACACTCATTTGGTATATATATATATATATATATATATATGCTTTCTTTACTAAGATATATTATATATGGAAGAAGATAGTCAATTAATTAAATAATTAGACGGGCGCTCAATCTTTGCAATAATATTTTGTACCTCATCTTTGTGTGAAATATGTATTGGACATATATAACATTGAGTATGTTTATCAAACACAGTTTCCTAACGTATGAAAATACGTGATGTTCACGTCTTTTAAAGTTATGAATGTCTAACTTATATTTTGTCCTTACCGAAAGAGTGAAGTTTCATGCAAAACAAAAATGCATTGGTTTTGACTATCATTATCTTCTTTTCTACATTCAGTCATCACCGAAAGAGTGAAGTTTCATGTAGTGTGTTTTGACCTAGGGCTTTCTTTCGTGGAGATCTACTCCTATCCATAGTAGATTGCTTCTTTTTTTTGGGTGTCTCCATGACTTCATCTTCTTCTTTTTTAAATTTCACTCTCGACATGTATTTTTCTAAAGAATTACTATTTTTTTAAAATACAATTACATTTTACTCATTAGATAACACTATGAGATTATGTTAGTTAATTGATTTAAGACTAGTACTGATGATTAAATCAAAAGATTCTTCTTCCCTAAATTGAGCTAAAAGATGTAAATATCTCTTGCGATTAATTAACATTCTTATTCTTCACGAATTTGATTAGCACAATTTAGGAATAATTACATCATTTCTTTCGATTCTACTTCTTTTGGATCAAATCTCATCAATTGTTTAACCTCGCAATTGGACCGTTTTTATATAAAATAATTCTTCCTGTGTTTATTATGTCTAACTGACTCGTTTGTGATACTCTATTTCGGTAAGACGTACGTGACTTGATTAGCTTATGTGGCATCCAAACATCTCCCACGCGCCTCAACTATGTGGAGTCACGTAAGTCAGAATTATAATAATAATAATAATCAAAGAAGTAAAAAAATAATTTATGTGTGAAAAATATCAAATACATGATTTTTAAAAATAAATTTAAAATTATTTTTTTCACTTTTGTAATGGTAGACAGAGGCGTCTGCAAGAGGGGGTCACCGGGTTCACTGAACCCATGCTCCTCTCCCAAAACCATATATAGTAGTGTTATATTTTCTATTTTTTTGTTAATATTGATGTGTGAACCCACAATCGAAGTATCATATAATGCGGCGATAATTGTGTGCACCTCTCAGCGATGTTAGAAATTTGAATTTTATATCTATATTATTTTATTTTTCTTTCTAAAATTGGATAACCTCTCTAAGTGGTTATTGATGCAATTTTTGTATTTTAATTAATTAAACATTTCAATTTTAGACCTATAATTTTAAAACTTTAATTGTTTTCAATGATAAGAACCTAATGTCAAACCGATTAATAGTGCACCCATCATCCCAAAATCCTAAATATGTTCCTGATAATAGGAGTATATGTGATCCACTCTTATAACGATAGTGATATATGTGAGCACACTTTCTTAACGAACCCTACCCGATTTCAAGTAAATCAACCAGTTTTATTTTAGATTAAAAAAACCGACCTACTCAACATTTTTAAAGTAGGTATATAAAATTTTATGAACTTTTTGACGGAAAATAATATGTTAAGACAATTTTAACCCCCAACTATGAAAAAAGAAAATCTCTGTGGAGGGTTTCTGAAAGCATTAATAACTTGGGCCGCAGCCTTCATCAATCAACTATGGAGACGAAGATGAAGAAATTCGGAAGAAGAAAAGTCTCAATTCCTGATGAAATAATGTTTGAAATATTCTCATGGCTTCCTATTCAATCTTTAATGCGTTTCAAGTGTGCTTCCGGATTTTGTAATTCTCTAGTATCCGAATCACACTTTTCGGATATCCATAGATGTCATTCTATGACCCGTCCTGGAACAAACTTCTTTCTCCATGAAAGGAAAGGTTTTTACTCGGTTGAGCAAGAGAAAGGTGGAAATATGTCTGCCTCTCTTTTTCAACCTGAGAGATTTATTGAATCTATAAATAAATCTCGTATGAATTGCGCTAATGGTTTATTTTGCATTTGGCAACCATCAATTGTTCGATCTGCTGTAATTTTCAATCCCGGTACAAGAGAAGTTAGATCTCTTCTGCTCCCAAATAAAGGTACTTCTTGTGGAAACTATTTAATAGGTTTTGAGCCACAAGAGAACAAGTACAAAGTGTTTTATTCGGAAAAGCCAAGTGGATACGGAGAACAATGGATTTTAACTTTAGGCATAGATGAATCGTGGAGAAAGATCACTCAAAGCATTTTTCCCTTCCCTTCTATAGGATAAGCCTAGTGTTTGCATTAGCAGAGTTATCTATCAATTTGATAATGCTCCCAATCCTGCTATTGCAGCATTTGATGTTAAATCTGAAAATTTTGAAATTATTACACTGTGGAATGAATCTACCTGGTTCTACTATTACCACCTGATAGAGGTGAAGGGAAAATTAGCAGTAGTGGATTGTCACATGGTAAGCAACTCCTTCGACTTGTGGATTTTAGAGCATTCTCTAGAAAGAAAATGGAAGAGATGTGTCATTCAATTTCCTTCAAACTGGAATTACAAAGTGCCTCGACCTATATCATCCTGCATGTCTCGTGATGGAAATATTGTACTCATCCGCAACGAGAAACACAAGGAGATGGAGAAAAATAGAAATCAAGGGGCTTCCTGAGGAGAGCTGCATCTATGACATTTATAGTTATGTGGAGACCTTAGATAGTACTAGCATTTAGTATATGTTAAGAGTCTCATAGATGATACTATTTGATTGTGAGTTTTGGTTTATGGGATTTGTTAAATTTAAATAAATTCTTTATATTTTTAGCTTGTTCTGTTTTTTGTCAAATATCTATACATCAATACGAATTACTACTGAAATTTAGCTAACCTCACTGTCAACAACAACAACCAAGTGTATCGCAAAACCTGAGCTTCGGGTTTGGCATATATGCATGATACAATTGAACTGGTCTCCATTTGTTTGTTTGTTCACTAGTCACAAGTCAAATTATTTGCTTTAGTCCCAATATGGAACGATATACCGTATATGGCCTTATTATCCTGCACAACACGTGATGGTCAGCTCTTTAACCGTTACAGTATGTCCAACAAAATCGATGAGTATGTACCTCTGTTGTAGCATTCCACACAATGTACGGGTAAAGATATTCAGAGTAGTTTCTGCATTAAAAGTGATTTTTGGCCGAATGATGCAATGCATTGATAATAAAACATAACACAACAAGGCTATGTTTTCCATAACGAGAGATCTTTCTACATGGCTGAGCAAAGGAAGATGCAAAAGTCTCTATCTCCCTTTCCCAAACTGATAAATTTGATGGAAAAGTCTCTATCTCCGTTAATGGTTTATTTTGCATTTGGGAACCCTTATCTGCTCCAATACAAGCTTTACATAACTCATTTCTTCTACACTAAAATGTTCAAAAGTAATTAAGTTGATAGACAAGAAATCAAGAAACCCTTGCTTTGTTCCTCTATTCAATAATTTTAATAAGGTATATATAGTACAAATGAAGCAAGGAAATTTACTAGGGATAAAGAAAAAACATATCCCCTAACTTTGCGATTTAGAGCGGATATACCTCTTATTAAAAGCGTGGCATATGTACCCCCACCGTTTAATAGATTGTGCATGTATATTTTTGTTATCTAATAAATGGTGCATATTTACCATTTCCTTTAATAGATTGAATTTTAAAAAAATGATCCTAAAACTTGTATTGATTGGTGTATAGACTTTGACAACAACATTTTAAGTCGAAAATCCTTCAAATATTTGGTTGGTTGCTTGGTGTGTAGACCTTGACTTAAAGGTAAAAATTCACAAATTTAATTATTTATTAGGATAAAGATATTGTTTGGTGTATAGACCTTGACAACAACATTTCAAAAAAAAAGTCCATTTTTTTATTTGCTAGGATAAAAAATATCAAGCTCAGTCAAAGTAACTAGTCAAAATCCATTTTTTTGATTGGTTAGGATAGCCGTGTTATTTGGTTTTTACACCTGATTGAATATTAACTTGACGATGATCAAACTTATATTCTAATAAAATTATAATGGATTTACATATTCCCAAGTCAATGCACGAGTCAAAGAGAAGTTCAAATAAAAGCTACAACTGAAACATCATGTCACTTGTAATACATTTTGTTTGACACCTTAATAGACGAAAACATCACAATGCCAAGTCTCTAGAAGTAGTGATCCTCACCCAATTATTACACATTATTAGTATTACGTACCAAAGTTCTACACAATACTACATAGCATAGTATAATGCATCGTAAAGATTAACTCTAATTTATCGGTATATAGTCAAGTAGGAAATAACTATTTAATCAATTTAAATTTTTAGAGAAAAAAAAAAAAGTCTATAAGAGTATAAGGCGATGTATGGGCCTTGACAAGAAAACTTAAGTAAATAATTGGGATAAGTGTAGCATCTCGCAATTTGAAATAACTAGGAAGAAGCTAAGAATTTGAAATAGTCATTTTTGGGAAGAATGAAAATCTGGAAATTTTGTTAAGTTAGGAAAAAAGTGAATTTTTGGTCAACATCAAACGGCCATAACTTCTAGCTCAGAATGATTTAGGAGCACCTCCAGTTATGGTAGTAAATATCTTGGAATGATCTTTCCAACACCGCTGAGTTTGCGCGATTCCGAGTTCGTATGAGTAAGATATGTCCTTCGGAAGTTGGGCTGATCGAATAAGGAAAGTTCAATCCGGATTTTTAAAGGGTAATTTGGTCTTTTCCTTGCTCAATTATTTTATTTCGTTTTGGTAATTAAGTTAGGGTCTAAACAGAATTAGATCAGTTTACGCTTTTACCAAAATACGCTAGGGCTTGGAGAAGAGAGAAAAGAAGAGGACAAAGGAGAAGAGAAGCAAGATTCGTCAAGATCGTCAAGTTTAGCTTGTGGATTTTGTCGGGGATGATCCGTACAAGGTATGTGAGATCACCTAGCGTTGGGTTAGTTCACCCACGTGCCAAACTTGATTCAATTTCAGCAAAGTACATTGATTTGAAAGTAAATCCCTAGAATTCTTGATAAAGTTTGTTTGAATCCTTGTGGGTTCTGTTGTTGAAGTTGCTTAGGATTGATTCACATTTTCAATTGTGTTTTCGAGTAGAATCTGATGTATATTGAGGGTATAGACGTTTCTAAGTGTTTGGGGAAAGAACCAATGGAGTTTAGAGGGTTTAGAGCTGGAAAACGAAGAAGAAATTTCGTCGGTCAAATTTTGGCAGTGCCTCCGCGTAGTGGAGCTAGTCCTCAAATTTGGGAAAAGTCGTTTTGCGTCGCGGAGCGGTCACGGACCGTTCTGCCTGAAAAGTTATTTTTTGAAACCAAAATTTAATTGCTTCTCCGCGTCGCGGACCCATCCTCAGATATTGATATTTGGTCTTTTCTCATGTTTAACTATCTAAATTCGTTCCTAAACATCATGAGATCCTTCCTATCACAAATCACGATCCTAGAATCCTTAAATTCAATTCAAGGAAAGTTAAGAGTCAAGTCAAGAGAAGTCAAGAGTCAAGTTAAGAGAAGTTCATAAAGTTTTCCAAAAGTCTTTTGCAAACGTTTTAACTTTGTTTTAAGACTTAAGTTTTGAGTTCAGTAAAGAGTAAAGTTGAAGTTCATTTCTTCAAAAGTATATGGGGACTATCTATTCCCAAAGGGTTTAAAATGTTTCTGCCTTTAAACAAGAAAGGAAACCTCGATTTCCACGGAGCCTTCGGGATAGTTTTCAGAAAAGAGTAATCGCTTTTTAAATGAAGCAACAGAGGAAACTTTAATTTCCAAGATAGCTTTTGAGCTAAGTTTTTGAGCACTAATCTCAAATCACAGAAAGAAGTATGTTTTTAAACATAAGAGCTAATATTATATTTTTGGGAGTAGTATTGAGCACCGATATGGGGGAGAGTTCAGACAACTCACAGCCCCTATAAACCATGTAGCCACCATGGGTAGAAAAGGGCCATACTTTTTAGATAATTTCTTTAGTACTTTTTAGCATAGACTAGTGGATCCACTTAGTGAGTTAAGTTTTATACCCCCAGCAAGGTATAGGACGGTCCTTTGTAGCATGAGGTAAAACGTTGTATCATCACTATAGCTCTTAAGTGATGGTTGTCGGTTAGAGAAACTCCCACAGTAGTATTTTGTATTTTTATACAAACGAAGTTCATATTGTATCTTTGCATACATACAGAGTTATTATTGTATTTCTAAATACATAGAGTTGACATCATGTTTTAAACAACTTTTCCTTATATTACACTTGTTTTAAACTGTTTTATATTGAAATGAGTTCAGTTATGTTGAGTTGAGTTGAACCAGGTAAGTTCCTCAGTTCCTTTCAGATTCTTTTCAAGCTTAAGTTGTGTTTAGCATTCCAACTCTCATACTCGTACATTCAATGTACTGATGCCAGTTGGCTTGCATAGTCTTATGATACAGACGCAAGAAACCCGAATCAACATCCAGCGCATCGTTGATCCAATTGAGCTTCAGAATTGTTGGTGAGCCTCCTTGCATTCTGGAGGATCCCCCTTTTTCATTAATTAATCATTTTAGTTCATTAGGATGTCGTGGGCCTGTCCTGACATCTATCTCAGTTGTTTTAGAGGCTTAATAGATAGTCAGTTAGATGTTAGTTCATTCGTCATCATTTTTTTATTGGCTTATGTTCATATTTGAGTTGCCATTTTGGCTAAGTTAAATGTTTATTTTTAAAACATTATGAGTTCAGTTTGAGTTGGGTTGTGTGTGAGAGTGCTCTCAAGGGGCATTTCTTTCCTTGTGAGTTGCTAGAGGAAAAGATAAGAGAGTTTCTCACCCTTAATTCGGAGTCTATGAGTGTTCATGAGTACAGTCTGAAGTTCATACAACTTTCCCGCTATGCTCTGGAGATGGTTGTTGACATGAGGAGCAGGATTAGTTTATTTGTTACTGGGTTTTCTCGTCAGTCAAGCAAAGAAGGTAAGGCAGTGATGCTGATAGGGGATATGGACATAGCAAGGCAAATGATCCAGGTGCAACAAGTTGAGGAGGATAAGCTGAAGGATAGAGAAGAGTTTAAGAATAAGAGGGCTAAGACATCAGGGAACGAGTTCAGGCAACAAAAGCGTAGTGCGAATGGGTCTTCCTTCCAACAAAAAGAAAAGGGACCTTGCCCCATCATCTGCTAGTGAACATGCACCTAAGAACAAGGGTGAGTACAATAGTCAGAATTCCCAGAGTTTCACAGCTAAACCTACCTATTCTCAAGGCAGTATGGCACAAAAGGGTAGTAAGCCTCCTGCATGGGCTAAGTGTGGCAAAAACCACTCAGGTATTTGTTGTGAGGACTCTACTAGTTGTTTCAAGTGTGGTCAGAATGGTCATTTTATGAGGGAGTGTCCTGAGAACATGCAAGGGTAATGGTAATAAGGGCAATAGATCCCAATCTTCATCAGTTGCTCCACCAGATAGGTCTGCACCTAGAAGAGCTAATTCTGGTACTGGCAGAGGAGAAAACCGCCTTTATGCGATCACTAATCGCCAAAAGCAAGAGAACTCTCCAGATGTTGTCACTGGTATGATCCAAGTCTTTGACTTTACTGTTTATGCTTTGCTAGACCTAGGGGAGAGTTTATCTTTT